TTAGTCAAGGAGACGGATTCGATAGGAAGTGCTCTAAAGAAAGATGGCAACATCTCGTCAGACAAGTTGATCAATTCGTCGCGTCAAGTCAGTGACAAGCCAATAGATGCAATGAACCGATTTGCGAAGTGTAATTTCAAATTTTTGACAAGTTGATGCTTAGTAGGTCGTCATCTGCATGATATGCCTCAACTTCTCGAAAGGGGGCAATTGTTGGTGCAAGAATTTGACATCTTATTCTACATTCAAGAGCATTCAAGAGGCTTGACCACGACAATAAATGACGCATTCATTACGTTTAATGCTAGCTAATTACTATAACGATTTTGTGTATATTATTATAGCCATTATTGTAATTAAGGCTGACCGACATTAATGATGACATCATGATGACTTTGAATGTCGTCATAACGGTCGAAACCGTCAACAATGGACAAAAAGGCATTAATTATCCTTCCTATAAGTAGTATCAAGCTCACTTGTAAAATGGAGGCCATCCATTCGAATAATACTCATAGTTTCACTCTATTTTTCTTACTTGACATCCTTCTAGTTGTTCTTGTCATTTTCCTTACCATTCTTGTACGAAACCCAATCAATATACTATTTCTATTCTAATTAGTTTTAGCTTATCAAAATTTGGCTAAAACAGAATCATACAGTTTCAGTTTTCCTATTTCCAGAACTGGTCTATACCTAATTAGCCATGAAACCCCTAACATGTCTCATCTACAAGTCTCATAGAGTCATAGTGTTCACGGTATTGGTGTCATAGGCTTACATTTCGCATAACAAAAAAAAAGGATGACACCCCATCCTTGAGGACCCCTAACATCGACCGGACAGTTAGATGAGAAGATGTAAATTGAATTTTAATCACAATCTGGCTGATAGAGAGTGAGATTCTGGCCCCGGTACTTGCAGAGACCCTATGCATTTTAGCATAGTAACCTCTCATCGCAGTTGCCGGGATTCGAACCCGAGACTTACCCCTTGTGGCACCCCCTATCTACCAGTTGAGCTACGCCCATCGGTTACATTTCGCATAACAAAAATACTGATATGGCTTCTGCAATAAAAATAACCAACAACATGGTTTGTTGTTCCATAAGTAGTGCTATAATCAACATCCCTGTCATATTTTTTTACAATGAGCCTGTACTATATAAAGAGAATTGTAGAGGGCCACAATTTATCCATTAGGGAGAGTACTTCCTACAATGAGATTATAAAAATGATTTTATGTTTTACAGAAGTATGTGTGTGGGTTTAGTAAATAGATGAATGATACAAAGCATTTTTATTTACCAAATTTTTTATACACGCCACTTTGCAATATTGCACCCAACACGCAATGATGTTGAAGAGAATGAATTATCTTCTTTAGTTGTTCACTGCTTGGTCTAGTCCAAGATTTTGAACTTCATACAAATGAAAATAAACCCACAGTACACATGAAAACATAACATAACTCTTATTGTTGGGTATATAGCTTTTTAAACAGTAATCCTATTAAGGAAAAACCATAATAAAATATGAAGATAAGGTAAATCTACTAACAACAATCCTATCCATGGGGTATTTGTTCTGTTTTTTTGTCTTTGTTGTGATTAAAAGTATAATAATGTAAATGTATAAAATATAATGAAAAGTTTAGAGCAATGTTTAATTGAAAAGGGTAGGAAAGTTAAGGAAACAAGTCAATCCTTTGTATTATCTCTCAACACATTTCTTCTAAATTTCTTTGAGGCTTTCCATTTTTTTCCTAATCAAGAATATTATTGACATTGTGTTGCGTGGTTAGCTAAAGTTTGTGGCGATGGTGTTTTCCATATTAGTGAGGCCTCAACAAGCCTCTCGGATTTTGAGATGACCGACAAATTCTGCATAGGAAAATTGGAAAAATATATTCAACCTGCAAATTTGATAGGTACTTGTCCAGAATCCTATCAAAATTGTTTGGGCAACACCACTTTGTCCTTTCATACAATATTCTTGTGCTCATTTGATCTTTCCTCCTGTTGAATCATTTTCATCTTAAAGTGTTATGTATATCATTTGCTGATGTTAACATTCAAACAAGCTTATTTTATCATCTACCCTCTGCTATACTGTCTTCCCTCCACTCATATAGGCAGCTACTAGTTATAAGCACAACATATAATAATGTTTCTCCATATATATAACTCTTGTTAGCATTATCATATTGCAGATATGCACCACTTTCCCTGAACCTTTGCTTGCAATCCAAAATGCATGTATTTTTCCCTTTCCTTAGGTAGCATATGCAACAATCAAAGCCATATATGTGTTACTAGAATACTCTTAGCATAACTTGGATTTAATACTCCTACCAAAGAACAAATATTGCATTGATATGCACAAAAAAATATGAATCAACAATTACACCTCCTTTTTGTGGCCAAAAATACTCTTGGTACACACTTTTTGGGGTACACGCTTTTACACACTGTTTGTGTAGGCTTTTTTTGTCTGTACAGAGAAAACGTATTTTGATGAAAACACGTTTTTCCTGTACAGACAAAAAAAAGCCTACACAAACAGCGTGTAAAAGCGTGTACCCCAAAAAATGTGTGCCCCAGGTCCAAATCTTTTGTGGCAGGCCAAGCAAACCAATACAGCTTACATTAAGCATAAAAAAGAAAATAAAGTACAGTATAATTAAGCCAATCATTTATATGTGTATTTAGTTATAGAATATACTACTACTTTACCACATCACAATTCCTAGTCGTTCTTCTCCATTTCACGGTACATCTTAGGAAAATGTTGTATTTACTATTTCACAAAATTGATTACAGCAATATGGATTTTTTATGGAATAGATTCGATTGGAGCAGAGTCAAAAAACCAAATAAACCTAATTTTCATTAGGAAATATAAGACTTACTTCATAGATTTGGCCATTTGGGTCTCATGTTGGATATAGAGTTTCATCTGAAGTATTAACTGGGATAACAACAGATATTAAACTGTCAAAGACAGATAGTTCATTACCTGGGAATCCGAAAATAATTAATAAAATTAAAAATATAAAATAACTAAACACACAACACACATACAAATCAACTTAAATAATAATCCTTAACATGGAAATAAGATTTGTCTGCAGGTGTTAAAACATAACTTGTAAAGATAGGTAGAATATTGTTTCAAATTTGGGATTTCAACTGTCTAAAGTTTGAAACGATTACAATACATACTAATTTCAGTTTGTTTATGGACAATTTAAACAAGAAAAATATTCTCTTTCAGAAAAAATTAAAAGAACAGAACTAAAAGCAAGGGTGTTGAGATGGAGCAAATGTAAGGGCACTGAGTGGGGCTACTTGTATATGTTCCAAAATGACAAAACTGATCAGACGGCGTTACATTGTTAAAAGGGTATACTAGGAATTAAAAATTATTAAGAAAATAAATGTTTGTAATTAGCAAAAAGGGGGTTGCATACCGAATTTCTCTTGAAACATCTTAAATGGGTTATCTAAATTATGAGAAAAGTTATAGTAGTCCTTAAAACCTTGGAGCCATATTTTAGGATGTGTTTAATTGTATTGATATTTATAGTCTGGTCAGATAAAAGTCTGTTTAATGTGTAGTTTCCAACAATCGAAGTCTAATCTGATATGAGTATATGACTTGGTCTGGTCTGGTCTGGGACTGAAATTCTTTGTCATTTTTTCATCATTTTTTAAAGTTTAATATCTATTTAATTTAATAACAAAACTCATTCATGTTTAAATATACTTCCATGCACTTTTTCTCACAATTTTAGCAAATTTAACAAATTTTAGTTGTGGGGCTTCAAGTCTTCAACTCATTTTCGTTTTCACAAACAAGCTCCTGAAGCTCGTTTGGTAACCCTATTTTTCGGCTTATAAAACAACTCTTTCATCAAACAAGTACCTTTGATTTCACCGGCTGAATTTTGTAATAATCAAAATACGTAATGTTGGAGTTACTTTTCTGACTGAATTGACTGAAGTCACTATAGATGACCATTTTAGCTACGAAGTAGTTTTCATATAAATATTTCTTTATTTTATTAATAAAATTTATTTTGAATACTACGCATCTCACATTTTTTCAGTTTATTTTAAAAACGCATAATTGATTATTACTTTGATACATATTCCCAAACCTGAGAGTTATCCCATAAAGCATCTCACATTTGTTATTGAAACGTGTTCAAATTAATAGTACGGCCAATAAAATAATAATTAGAGATGAAAAAGCATACGAAGAAAATCTAAGCCCATCAATAGCATCGTCTCCTTAAGACAATTTTGCCCTATTACCGCATCAAATGTCTCCCAGGATAGAACAGGTTCGTTCGCGACGACGGGACTCAAAGATGCAATGAATTGTTTGAAGAGTAACGGTGAAAGAGATAGAGTTTTTTTGGACTGCCAATTTCGGATATCCTTTGTGCAGAATTCGTTGGATATTTATATTGAAGACGACGGCGGCGCGTGCGTGAAGATTTAATTCCACACTTACTGTATACGGGTTTCATCGAATCATCACTCAACAAATCTCCAGTGCCCTACCTCATAGCTAAGGAAAGCTTAAAAAAGACACTTCCTTGACTCTCCATTTTCGGTGTAGGACAAATTCCCTTCCGAAACTAGTTTTTAGCGAAGTTCGAAAAACAATTTTTCATTAATTTCTAAATGGTTTTGCACACTTTAATATATGGTTGCGGTCACCTTTCAGAGTACTATACGTTTGGACTTGATCCTACCACAAATAAATAATGGATCTCGTATTTATATGAGCTCAAAGGTGACCATTATACTAAAGTAAAACCCATTTTTCTAACATTAACCAAAGAATTGAAAATGCATGAACAATAATTAAAGGATATACTATGATAGTAACAATATTTGGGACTACGTGGAATTTCCAAAAGGTGAAAGTTTGCACATGTCATCAATAAATACATAAAACTCATGCAGACGAGATTCAGAATAGTTGGTGGAGAATTTGTTGCCACAGTTCCATCAATTAATATTTATAGAAGTTTAACAACTTTAAGGTAGGAAATCTTAAATGCATAAACATTCATATAATTTTGTTCTTCCTCGTGATACCACCTTAAGCTCACTCTAGCTCTTTGGCTAGTAGCTGCTTCAGTCTTCAGAATCCAAAGGTATTTCCCCTGATATTATGGTTTGTTTTATTGTTTATTTTGTTTATTTTTTCGCACAATTGATTATATATATTAATACACACACACTATGAGAAGATACTCTCGGGAACACCATACAAACTCGTTAGAAACTCTCCAAACAAATATTTTTCTATTAAAAGATAGACGTTTCCCGTTTCCATGTGTTTACTACATTTCCGTCTTTCTGTACAATATATATTTTTTTCAGCAACATTATATTCAAAGAAAATGAAATTTTCTGGTGCAGAGTTAGATTTTTTATATTATTAGTAGATTCACGAGATTTTGCTGATTTATTTCTGGGAAGATGAAACTGTTTTTAGTTTTTGTTTTTTAAAGCTGGCTGGTATTACGGATTTCATGCTTTATGTGTTTCCATGTATTTTGCGTTTGATCTTCTTCTTCTTTTTAATCTTCTCAAGCACTTAAAGATCAAATCTTTGCATGTTTTAATGTTTTCTCAGCAATATTTGTTCTCATCCCCTTCTGTCTTTGCTCATTATCCAGCAGCAAAATAAAGGTCGTAAGGAGCCTTAAATATCATTCACTTAATATTTTTTGGTCAGTTAGGATGTATTTCTAAATTAAACTTATTGTTTATAAATGGTTGGAAAAGATATATAGTTTAGATTTTGAGTGGTTAGTTGTGCGTTTGAAATTATTATTTTTGGAAATCAGGAACCAGATTTTAGAAAGCATTGACTAAAAGTTGCTTTAAAATATTGTGTGACAAAATTTTCAAATTAACATGATTAGTTATGGAGTGTTTAATTATCCATTTTTTAATTACTACTGGTATTAGACTTGTAGAACAGAGCATCTAAGTTTTTTTTTTGTTTTTGCTTGGCAGTTGCTTTGGGGAATATCTTCCTCATAGTACCTGAAAATTAGTATGACTTGTGGAGCACTGAAAAGTATTTAACAAAATCAGAAGTAATATATTTTACTTTTATCAATATAAGAATGATACTACTAGATAAAACATCATTAATTTATATAGGGAATCTAATGGTTAACACACCTCAACAAAAATAAAAACGGCAAAAATTTGGTTCTTTTTGAAAAAGTAATTATTTCAAGGAAAAGATATCATCAAACAATTAATTCATCTTGGTAGATATAGAATGGTGGTCTCCATGGGTCAAGTAAGACTTGTGATATTTGATAACTATGCTTAGTAGTTTTGCTCAACTGCATTATAGTTTATTAAATCTTACTAAACTACACATTATCACAGATGTTTGCTGTAAAGGTCAAGGAGGGGGAGGAAGGCCGTGACGGGCAGCCATCAGTGGGCCCCATATACCGGAATCTCTTGGCTAAGCATGAATTTCCTCCAACTAATCCCGACTTATCTACTGCTTGGGAACTCTTAAAGTAAATTATTCTTACTTTTATTGTTCACTAATTTCAACCAGCACATGAAATCTTTAATGTACTGCAGCTTGTTACATTCATAACAGCTATATAACACTTTAATGAACAGAGATTCAGTAGAGAAGCATCCAAAAAATAAAATGTTGGGGTGGCGAGAGCTCGTGAAGGGAAAGGTATACTCAAATCGGTCCAATACCTCTAGTTGATATAGTTTGTATATGGGGGTATTTGGCAAGAGTTGTTTGGTTTAGATGGAACTTTATTAAAAGCATAAGCCAAAAGTTAGGTTGAAGCAAAATAAGCTTCATAAGGTTATGCTTCTCTCATAAGGTTGACATTTAGCACAGAACCCCAAAGTTTTAATACGTTAGTTTGTTATTTCATATTTAATAAATGTGGGACAACTTCTTCAAACACTCTTTGTTGAACATTAACTCATATAAGTTCTTTCTTCTAGTGGAGTCCATATTTCTGGAAAACCTACAGTGAAGTGTTTGAAGAAATTCTGCAGACTGGTTCTGCATTGCGAGCGCATGGTGTTGAACCTGTAAGCAAATCAAAGTTTATGTTCATGTATATCTTCTACTCAAATAAGGCATTAAAAATAAAAATTCTGCTCTATGCTAGGGTGCTCGTATTGGAATTTATGGATCCAATTGCCCTCAGTGGATCGTGGCAATGGAGGTTATAGAAAATTCATCTCATTTCCTTTTATCTATTTATCTATTTACTTATGTTTTTATTTATTAGATTTGTGGCTGCCCTATTTCTCCAAAGAGCATAATCTGATATTTTTATTGCCTTATTTGTGCAGGCCTGCAGTGCCCAGAACCTTATTTGTGTTCCACTCTATGACACCCTTGGTATGGATACTTCTTTCTTTGCATCTTGAAAAGAAAATGTTTTCAGGTTGAAACTTTTTAACTTATTTTAAACTTTGCTATGCAGGATCTGGGGCTGTTGATTATATAATAGGCCATGCTGAGGTTGATGTAGTTTTTGTCCAAGACAAGAAAGTGAAAGAAGTAAGGATCATTTTCCGCATTTAGTTTGGTTTTGATTTCCTGTGTTTTGCATCTGATTTGTTTAAATATTTGAATTTGCAGCTGTTTAGTGATGAATGTACTCACTTGAAACGGCTTAAAGGTGAGTACGGTTTCCTTCCCGTTGAGTTGTTTTTGCCGAAGTATACATTGTTGTCGCTAAGCTTGCTGTGTGTTGCAGTTGTTGTTTGTCTCACTTCGCTAACAATACAAGAGAAGGATATGGCTGTGTCCATGGGTATCCAGCCATACTCTTGGAATGAGTTTCTTGAAATGGTAATTTTCTCAACTGGTATCGGCCATGTTTGACAATTAGCGGTTGTTAAATTAGCTATTCATAATAACCATTTGGACTTGTTTTAAACCTTCACCTCTTTAAGAGATGTTTCTTTGTTAATGTAATTAGGTTTTTATATGTGTCTGAAATAGCATATAGGTGCAACAATGAAATATTAAATGACATGAATATCCTTACTCTTTCATCTTCCATTTCCTACTTTTGACTACCTACCATTTACTGTTGGGCTCTATGAAAACCATATAGGTCAAAGTGTCAAACTGTCAAAGTAAATGTGAACACTGAGTTTTTTTGTCTAACAAAATGGAAGAAACATAAAAGTCCCTTCTCCCTTTTTTCTTGTGAAATATAAATTGGCACCTTAACAGTGGGGTGGTTTCTTTTCTTTATCCAATTTATATTTTTACCTTTATCTTCATGACATTAAAGAAGAAGATTTCAGGGTAAGAAGTATCCAACAGAGGTTACACCACCACAGCCATATCATATTTGCACAATAATGTACACTAGTGGAACTAGTGGAGAGCCAAAAGGTGTTGTTTTGACCCATGAAAATATTGCATCAGCTGCCAGAGGGTTGGATCTTTTTATGGACCAGTTTGAAGATAAGGTAAAGAACTGTTTGCTTGGTTTTGCCTTTATTAGCCAACACTATTCTTTTAAATTCTGTATGGGAAAAAAAAAGAGCAATTTCAGTATAGAATGTTAAACTGATAAGCAACTTCATATATGATAGATGACAGTTGATGATGTGTACATATCATTCCTACCTCTGGCCCATATCCTTGATCGCATGATTGAAGAATACTTCTTCTTTAAGGGCGCTTCCGTTGGCTACTACCATGGGGTGAGCTGATGCAACTTTGAAGTTTGTTCCAATATTGGTTTTCTTTTTTCTGTTTGATTTATTTTTTCTTTTCATAACTTATAAGCTGCTATGATTCTCAAAAAAAAACTTATAAGCTACTATTGGGCATATATACCACTCGTAATTGTTAGCAATAAATTGACTTTGACAAATACAAAAAAAAAACGAATTAAATTTAATACACTATATTTAAATTATTTTTCAAATTTGGGGCAAGTCGGTCCTAGCATGCACCTCTAGTTACACCCCTCTATACAATCCAAGAGATAGAATTACATTAAGAGCTCGTTTGGTAACCCTATTTTTCGGCTTATTAGGCATATGAGTCAACTTTTTCACCAAACACGTAACTTTTGATTTTGCGCGCTGAATTGTGTAACAATAAAAAACGTAAGGTTGAAGTTATTTTTTGTGACGTATTGATTGAAGTTACTATAGAAGAGCATTTTAGCTATATTTTTCATTTTTTTATTTTATTAATAAAAAATATTTTAAATATAATTTATTCATAAATCAGCAGAATCAGCTAATCCAGCCACTTCAGTCAGATTTTCATAAATTTTAGCAAAATCAGCCGATTCAGTCAATTTAAGTGATATCAAACGGGCTTAAGTATAAGTATTTCATAGCTTCATTGATAGTGGCCTTTAATTATTGTGGGATACAACCCAGGTCCACTTTGGAAAATATAAGAGATAAATACACCTTGATTATGACTGGTTACCTAACTCTATTAGTATAAAGCCCACGTCCAAAAAAACCATGCGGGCTTGGCCCAAAACGCACAATGTCATACTAATGTGAAGCAAAGTAAGTCCGAATATATGTTGGTTTTAGGACACCTCCCAAAAAGGCCTGATAGTGTTTTACTTGTAACTTGTAAGGCCTATTCCCTTACTTTTCCGGTATGAGACTTAAGTTGCAGCGCACAATAATAACTTCTATATGAAAGAAAACATAACATCCCAATAAGATTTTGGAAATTGGAGCTAAGAGTTATCAAATTTGCATCAGAATATCAATGAGATAAAAGATGACTTGGCCGAGTTGAAGCCCACCTTCTTGGCTGGAGTACCTCGAGTTTATGAAAGAATTCATGAAGGTAAGCAACATTTTTCTACTTTCATAAATGCACATACTTACTTTGATGCATTTTTGGTTGGGATGTGTTGTTGTTATTGTCTTAAATGACGTCCTTATTGTAGGTGTCCTAAAAGCACTTGATGAACTCAATCCATTTAGGAGGGCAGTTTTCAATCTTCTTTACAACTAGTAAGTCTTTGCCCATTTCCTTTTGTATGAAACATAGTCATTCATCCATGATTTTTATTTACCAATAACTTAATTTATTCTTTTACACATAATGTAGCAAACTCAAATGGATGAAGCTAGGGTTCAAGCACAGAGCTGCATCACGCCTGGCTGATTTACTTGCTTTTAGAAAGGTTTGTTACTCCCTTCAACTATTTTCAATAGAGGAAGTGTCACATATCATCATCATCAAAATTGGTTTTGTTTTTTTGTTTCGACTTGAAATCTTTTAGATAGTGATTATTGGTGTAGTTTGGGCTCCCCTACATTGAGAGGGAAAACGCTGTTCGTATAACTATTTTGTACAAAAAGATTTCTTTAGATTTTTGTTCTCAATAACAAGACTTTGTTTGTGTGGCCGTGTGGGTCCGTGTTTTTATACCTGATATAAAAAATACATTACTCGTGAGTTCTAACAGACAAGATCACACATACAAACCTATACAGACGAAAATCTTATATGAGAACAAAGAATCTGTAGTTCTGTACAAATTGGTTGTACACTACCAAACATGACTGATCAAACATGGGATGGACCGAAAAAACAGTTCACTCCTATAAGTTCTTATAGAAAAAGCTCTGCATATAAAAAAATGCTAAGGATCTCTCACATTGATAGGTAAAGGCGAGGCTAGGTGGCCGACTTCGTCTAATAGTTTCGGGTGGTGCAGCACTAGGTAGTGAGATTGAAGAGTTCTTGAGAGTAACCTCTTGTGCATTTGTGGTACAAGGATATGGTAAAATTACTCTCCAGCCCCTTTTCCCTTCTGCCAATACTTGGCTACCTACACTTGTATTATTAATGTTACAGAGATATAAAAACCATCAACATATGTTCACACTTAATTGCCAATACCTAAAACATTTAAATATCCATTCATATGTGGAATGTCTGGGAAGGAACTTTTGTGAAATAGTTCATCCTGCATTTTTTTCAAGCACATCCATTTTAGACAAATAAGTAAGTCAAAAGCTATTTGTTCTTCTGTAACAGAATAAGAATATTACTGCTACCAAACCGGATGAAATTTCCATATGTTAAATAGCATTCCAATTATAAACTAATAACTAATTACTTCAATTTTTTAAAATGTAGGACTAACTGAAACTTGTGGGTTGAGCACAATATGCTACCCAGATGAAATGAGCATGATCGGAACAGTTGGATCCCCATTTGTATACACAGAAGTGCGTCTCGAGGAGGTTTCTGAAATGGGTTACAACCCGCTTGGAAACCCCCCACGAGGAGAGATATGTGTCAAGGGAAAAACTAATTTTGCAGGATATTATAAGAATCCAGAATTGACAAGAGAAGTCTGTAAAGATGGGTGGTTCCATACAGGTTTGGTTCCATTATTCTTTTTATGATGATGATGAACATCACCTCAAACTAGGTATTTTCTTACTTCAAAGCTTCTTTTTTTTTTAAATTCTCAGGTGATATTGGAGAAATGTTGCCTAACGGAGTTATAAAAATCATTGATAGAAAGAAAAATCTTATCAAGCTCTCTCAAGGAGAATATGTCGCGGTCGAGTATCTAGAAAAAATTTATGGTATAGCGCCTATTATTGAAGATGTAAGTAACAGTTTGAATTGAATATGATAATCGATCTATTCTAAATAGAAATAAGGAAAAGTTATACTCCGTATTAATAAGTAATTATCCATTAAGCAAAAGTGTTAATTATTAACTTTATGACAATAATGTTACTAAGACACAAACCGTCAACTGGCTATGACCAACTGTCAACGCAGTAATAGGCCAGTGAATATTGGTAACTTTTTTCTAACAATTGTGTCCAAAAATTAATCATCAACATTATGTCCAATGAGTAATGCTTAATCATTTACTTAGTAATGTATAAGAAAATGTCCCATAAATAAAGACCAGTCAATTATATTTGATGATTTTTATACTTTCAGATATGGGTGTATGGGGACAGTTTCAAGTCTATGTTGGTTGCAGTGGTAGTTCCCCATCAAGAGAACACCTCCAAATGGGCACATCAAAATGGCCATTTTGGTACTTTTGAAGAACTATGTTCGCTTGACAAATTGAAAAATTATGTCCTTGTTGAGTTGAAGGCTGTTGCAGAGAGGAATAAGGTACATTTCTGCTTGTGTCATTCCTATTCCTATTCCAATCTCCTGTGGTTGAGGCGTTGAACTAAGCTTAATGAAACAAATCGATACACAATATTATACTTTGACAAAAAAGTGTGACAAAAAAACATGGTCGCTATTGTTCCCATTGATGTAAAGTGATATGGTGTGCTGAAAGGCATGATTTTGTCACGTGTTTGTTACTTTGTTTTGTCAATTTGTTTTTGCTTTTTATATATCATTACTTGGATGAGCTAATATTTTTATGACACCCATGAACCAATTTTCCTTTTTTGAAACCAGTTGAGGGGTTTTGAGCACATAAGAGGTGTCATTCTTGAGCCACAACTCTTTGAGCTGGGAAATGACTTGGTGACTGCAACACTGAAGAAAAGAAGAGATAAATTGTTCAAGCATTACGAGGTAATGACGCTTTGTCAAAAACTTTAACAACATGAGAGATGAGGACAACTTTATATGGAGGGAGAGGGTTAAGGTGGCTGAGCGGGGTTTGGAGAACGCTTAAAATTAACTCAAATTTACCCAAACTGAATAAGTGAGAGTGATATGATTTATGTACATTTGGGATAAATTGAAACATTCTATAACCCTGTTGACATATATCAAATGCCTAAAAGCTTCATCTTCTTGTTTAAATTTTGCAGGAAGAAATCTCGAGTCTTTATGGAACACTCACTCGTGCACCTAAGCATTAAGTGTTGGTTATATCATCAAGTATTGCTGATGTTGATCTTGTTGCCTCTCTTTTTATCAGCTCTTTTAGTAGCAATTACACTCTCTACATCTCCCTTACATTCTCAATCTCCTACTTTTGTGCACAAATAAAAAAATTGCAAAGAGAGAACAAAGATGGGAAAAAAGTATGTCTTATCCTTGTTCTCTCTTTGTGCCACAGTATAAAGCAATATTTTTTTCAATTCTGACACTCAAAATAAATATGGCTCAAAATCAAATTAAATATTCATGATGTTTTGACTGCATCCGGTAAATAAAGTTTAAAGAAAGGTAGATAACCTTACTGGGGTAGAAAGATAACGGATTTAAAGATGCAGAGCAGTCCCTAAGCTTGTCCTAGAAGCAGTTGATTAGCTTATAGGATTACATTCCAAAACCTTATCGCCTGAGTTGAACACCCTGTGATAATACTTGGCCAAGAAGGTGACTGGAGAAGCAGTAGGATCATTATCATCCACTGCCTTCATGGTGATGAAGAAAATGAATCCAGAAACACCAGCAAAATCCACCTCCACCAACTTGGGAAGCTTAAACTGCGTTCTATTCTTGAAGTTGTACCATTCAAGAGCTTCTTTTGCAGCCCTATAGTGTATCTCACGGAAGTGACCACCCTCTTTCACACGACAAGCCCCGTGCTGATCTTCAGAAATCCTACGCCTCGATCTCTTTCATTTCCTGCTGAATCTTCCGAGGTAAATCAGGCGGGGAAGGTGAGGGATTGTAATATTCCATATCGCCATATGGTGGTGGAGAAGGTATGCTCAGACTAGGGCTGCTGCTACTTTCAGATTCATCTTCACTCTCGCCCGCATGAATGATGGTCGATTCTGATGCGGGTCATATAGATTCTCTAGGCGGCTTTGCTTTGCAATTTGGACAATAGGTGCTTTCCTTCGATTCACCACGCTGCTTCATCGGGGTTCATAATACGTTTTTGCCAACTCGGGGTATTCGAAGCGCTTAAAAAACGGATCCATCCGCGTTCCGGTGGTCGGATTACCGGTGCCGCCATTGTTTGAGTCCGTTCACAAACGAAGAAGGAACGAAAGGATGTTTATCGGTGGAACCATTGACCTGGCGGAAATCGTTTAGACGATGGAACAAAGGGAGAAGGGACGGAGTTTGCAGAGACGAAGGGAGCAAGGAGTTCGGTATGTCTGTTTGGTTTAACAGAATGGAACACCAAACAGAACTAAAATGGAACCATATGCAATTGAGGATGAATTTAGTAGTATTTCTTTCGAATCCTATTAAATCAAATTGAATCAAAATTGATAAAAAACCAAACAAAATCGAATCAAATTATTAAAAATAGTATTTCATCCGTTTCATTTTGTTTGTCTTACTTTTCTTTTTGAGTTGTCTCAAAATCGATGTCATGTTTCCCTTTTCGTTAAGAATTTTGTGGTCCATACCATTTTTATTTCATTCAATTTAAATCTCAACCACAACTTTTATTTTTCAACTATTTTATTAATAACCGTGCCAAATTGAAGTGAGACAACCATTATAGAAATGGAGGTAGTATGATTTTTGTTTGGTAATAATTATTCAAACTCGTTCCAAACCAAACGAATCCGGTAAAAACCGAACCGAAAACTAATATGCCCACCCCTAGTAAGGACGATGAGTTTTCGAGCGCATCATTTTAATCGATGACTTCTCTAGAACCGATAAAGCAATATCGTAAAAATACATATGTGTGTGGGAGTACTTGGGTCAGAGTCTCACTCACTATCTGTCAACTTGTGATTAAAATCAAATTTAATTTTTTCAATTAATTTTCGGCAGGTGTTGGGGGTTCGTATTATATACCCGGGTGTACGGGTGGGAACCGTACATCCAGGTTTATTTGTAATTTTGTTTAAACTTCAACCCAATTTCAATAAAATTAAATGAATACAACAAATGCCTACAAAAAAAGGCCAACATTTTAAATTTCCCGGTGGCATTTTTGTAATTAATGCGAAAATCGCGGTTTCTATTAAATGAATATTAGTGCACCGTTGGTGAGTATCAAACTAATTCTAGCGAGTATTATGAGACTAATAATTAATGAGCATCGTGATATTACAATATATATGCAACTAATGTCAAAGTTAACAATTGATGCAACTAAATAGATGTTTATACTTTATAAAAAGTATCATATTGTTTCAAAAACTTCTTTATAGACCACATTATTAATGATGTTGAAACACGGCCCTTGTCATCACATATAAGAATCTTCAACCACTTCTTGAAAGAAATTCGACTATCTGGCTGGACTAATGATAACTTTGGAATCAAAACATTTTGACCAATACTTTTAGATAACAGAACCAACGACACGTGAAAATTTTCATGTATACAACCTCACATAAAGCGCAAAGACCAACATATTAGATAGTTTATAAAGAAATACAAAATAAATATGTATTTATATTGCTAAGATGGATGTAATTCATTCATATATTAAAAACAAAATGACATTAAGATATTGTATCTGCATCACTCAAAAAAATGAAGAACGTTAATTTATTCATGCAATTGTTGTGGTTTCAATTTTTTTTTGGCAAAATTGTTGTGGTTTCAATTAAGCTCTAACAATTTACTTTGAAAAACGGTGTGTAATTTCAAAGATATTTAAACTAGGGTTGTAATCTAATTTCACAGTAAAATAGAATTATTCAAATTTGTATGAAAATAATAAATCCATTGGTATGTGTTTTGAAATTATAGTTAATAATGGTGTAGTTTAGGATGCTTTAAAACTTGACTAAAATTTTGTAATATGTTTAAGTTTGATCGGAACCAAAGAGGTTATCTTGTATGGTAGGTATCTATTTTTTCCTTATATTTTTACAGGCATCAAAGTATGAGGTTTGGAAGCTCTCTAATTGCATACATTTTATTTAAAAAAATAAAGAAAAAAACTAAATGAAAAATAGCTAAACAGGTATCCTGCAACAATTCCAAGCAATTCAGTTATAAAAATAACCTCAATCTTACTTATTTTGATTATTACATAAAACAAAAAAATGTGTCCTTGGCAAAAGAGTAGGTTTATAAAGGTGATAAACTTAAAATGAAAAAATACCACTAATCTTAATCATGGAATAGTGTTGGATAAAAATGTGTCTTAATAACTTTTAGTGGCTATAATTATATTGTATTCAAAGTTTATATCATAATGACTAAAAGTGACTAAATCACATTTTTATCCATGACTTTTTATTGATAATATATTAGAACAAACCTCAATTTAAAATTGAGCTTAGCAAACGAACTCTAAGTCACTTATAAAAAATGGAAGAAAAACGTAACTTTCTTAGATATTACTCCTTTTCGGGGCGTTTCAAAAAATTCTTCCCATTTTTCTTTTTGGAAAGGTTTGTATGGTTAACATTTATTTACTTTTTTCTTACTAAAGCACAATCATACATTTCCACTTTATTTTTACTTTTTAAACTCCAATCTAAATCAAACCGGAAAGAATTTTGCGAAAAAGAGGGAGTAATTGTGTAACAGTTTGGCTCCGAGCCTAGCCTTTGGATATTTATTTAGATATATGTGTCGTGGTTTCAAACTCTACTTTCCAGTTTCCATACGTGTCTTTGTTACGTTAATAGATTGTCCTTTGGTATTATTAATTGGTATTATTACTTGTTAAGAATGATCAAAATCTGGCAACATATCAATATTTTAATGACCAAAATCTATATTAATACATTGTAAATGAAGTTGGAACAATAGCTTTAGAACTCCAAATTATCTTTCCAACGAGATATAATACGCTCTAAACGGAAGAACACACAGCAAGATATGAGTGTCACAAATATTTGACTTTATCTCTATGATTTAGCGTTTTCAGCATAATGACAGTAATTTGAACAGGATTTTTCCCTTCAATAGTTCAATTGCTATCCACACTCTTACTCTATACGGAGAAAGTATAGAGTAAGACTCACTAGTTCAAATATGCATTATTTTGAATCTTTTCACCCCACCAGACTCACTTCAATAGGATTTTTCCCTTCAATATGCATTATTTTGAATCTTTTCCCTTCAATAGGATTTTTCCCTTCAATAGTTCAAATATGCATTATTTTGAATCTTTTCCCTTCAATAGGATTTTTCCCTTCAAATAGGATTTTTCCCTTCAAATAGGAGAAAGTATAGAGTCAGACTCACTAGTATTTTTCCCTTCAAATAGGATTTTTCCCTTCAAATAGGATTTTTCCCTTCAAATAGTTCAAATAGGAGAAAGTATAGAGTAAGACTCACTAGTTCAAATATGCATTATTTTGAATCTTTTCCCTTCAATAGGATTTTTCCCTTCAATAGTTCAAATATGCATTATTTTGAATCTTTTCACCCCACCAGACTCACTTCAAAACGGTTGGAGATGACTGCCCCTGATTGCATGTGCAGCAACGATCATAAGTGAAAAAATTAAAACAAAATAAAAAATCAAATGAACTAGCGGTTAGGGGAATAGAACCATAACAATCCAAACCGGTTCCCATTTCCCAATAGTGATGACCAGAACCACCATGCACCCATAACCAACCCGTTTCTGATACCCTACCCAAAACCGGGAAGCCAATCCAACATACAAGTGTTAATCCAAGATTCCAAGCGTTTACGTTAGGTTCTCTTTCTTGGATACTAGAACTAGATATTGAAAACAAAAGTTTATTCAGTTATTTGTTAAACAATTTTTATAATAAGTTTGGAGTTCATTATACCATTTATACATCAATACATCATACGAAACACTACGTATATTATATCATATACTTATAAAATTCATTCAATGAAACACTGACAAAGAGCCCCCATACAGAACGGGCCCTAACTAATTTCAAGTATTTGAGAGTTGAGATCTTATACTATCAAACATAAGACAAATTAGAAAAATAGAAGACAATGACCACTTGCCCTTGTATCTAAAATCTGCAAATCAAACAAGCCCTAATTTCAAAAAACGAGTCTTCAAGACGGTGATGAGCGGATCAAAAAGTAGAAGTAGAAGGGAGACACAATAGTATCAACATAAGGCATTTAAGGCAACGCTGAGCTATTTCATTGTTAACAATGCATAAATAAAAATAACTTCGTCCTTCATAAAATTCCAAACAAGCAATTGTACTCAACAAGTGAAATTCATTCATATGCTCATAGCTGAAGGCCAAACACTCCCTTCCCTCGGTCCCTTACCATCAGATTCACTTCTTTTTCTTGTTCTGGTCCCCTCGTTCTCTGTCCCTCTTCTTGTACATTCTATCAAGTACATGTTTTGCTTCACACTGGGGGAAATTTGTGATATCATAATAGTGTGGTGCTATATCAATCAACCTGCATCATCAAGTATTCATGCACAAAACAAATTATCAGATCTCCCTTCTTTTATCCTCTTCATTACAACATCATAAGACTATCCAATATCCAACCCCTCTAATAATATAATATTAGTATAATAAAAAATCTAATAATAACTCCCCATATTATATTGGTTAATAATATAAGAACAAGAAAAGATATGAAGTAGATAAAAGTAAGAAAGAATAGTGAAAAGGTAGACAACCAGAAAAGAGAGGTGAAAATAAGATAAACATTACAAAAATGAAAATGGAAGAAATAATAAAATATGTCTCAAAAAAGGCCAAGTAAAAAGTTATTAAAACGGAAGGTATGTAAGTAAATAAAAGTGGTGGGCAGTAAAACTCAGAAAAACACATTAAGTGCTTCAATGACACAGTGTCATCCCATAAGTTGTCCCATGAATAGATGAACTTTGTTTCGTGCTACGGTAGAAGTAAGCACAAAAAAGTTGCGGTGAAAGAAAAAAATAAAACAGAAATATAATTTTAAAATACTGACCAGTCACCCCTGATGTCAGTCACAGTACGGATAAATTTCCTGCTTGTTAACACATACTCATTGTATATAACCCATTCTGGCTTATGATCCAGGCAGTTTGAAGGATGCAAGTGAACCTCCTACCACATATTAAAAAAAATCATAGTAGAAGAAATTAGTAACAAGCATTTAACAAATGGTAATCAACTCTGGCTTTTGATCCAGCCTATTCACAGGGTACAAGTGTACGCTGTCATACAATCATCGTGTGTGCTGTGTGCCTGTATAACTGTTGTATTTGCTAAAAATGAACATACCTGATTATCCTTCACTGTCAAATAGTGACCTGTACGTTCTAAATGAGCCACCTGCATGAAATAGCCAGCTAACATTGCCTTTCTTATGTTGACATAGTAGTCACGGCTGTTGAAGTCAGTGCTACATAGCTTGAGGTTGAATCTTGCCATAATGCGTGCAAGTTGCTGCCTAACATTATCTGCTGACTTGAGAGCCCTGTGGTTAATGAAATTCTCATAACACCATTGTGGATCCTCCTCTGAAAAGAAACATAAAACCATATCAAGAGAACTTCTCGTAATCAACTTGTGGAATTCTTAAAATTGAGAACACAGAATACACATAGAAATAGAAACTTACGGTTTTGCTTGTAAGCATGGTATACATTCAGCAGCGTCAGGTGATCTCCATCAATGTGACTAAAACGCCCTTTGGCTTCGTCTGCAGCTTTTTGAGCCTCCCTAGGCCGGATAAAGCAGTTGGGTACTATAGAAAAAAGTGGTTATCACAGAGGAGGGCCCACTGTGTGGTCAGCAGATGCATAGAGGCGAGAGACGACACCATTTGCTTCATGAGAGAGAATACTGAGAAACTGCAACTATCTGCATCAGCACTAGCTTAGAACCTCTATGGTGCATGCCAGCCGAAGGGCATGGAACCCATACAAGACAGTTGCTGATGACAACCTAAGGGTGACACACATAAAACCACATACAAGTACACTTTTGTGCACATGTATGCAGTCTAACAACATCTCTATATGCATAGGTACATATCTATGCACAAAGGCATAGATATCTATGCCAGAGAAGACCTGACTGTGATGAGGATAAAGACCACACCGACAGACTCAACAAACGGGAAAAAAATATGATTAATAAAAGAATACCTGATAGCATAGCAGACACAGAGAGAATCTCATTGGAGCAATTAAATTCTGGGCTGACAACGAGCATTTTTGCCATTTGAGGGTCCAGGGGCAACTCACTCATGATCTCACCCAATTTTGTCAAGTTGCCTTCATCATCCAAGGCACCAAGATAATTCAGTACCTCCAAGGCTCTCATTAATGTTTCTGGTGCTGGAGGATCCATGAAATCAAAATGGACTAAATCGTCTATCCCTAGCTTCTTCAAAGTTAGAACTGTATTGGAAAGGTTAGATCTAAGTATTTCGGGATAGGTCTGTGGTTGGAGATCATTCTGAAAGCTCTTTTCTGTGTACAGTCTATAGCATTTTCCAGGCTGTGTTCTTCCAGCACGCCCAGATCTTTGGTGGGCACTTGCCTTAGAAATTGGAGAGACCAACAAAGACTCAACACGTACCCTGGGGTTATATACTTTTTGCTTTGCAAACCCTGGGTCTATAACATAAACTATACCATCTATAGTCAATGATGTCTCAGCAATATTTGTAGAGACAACTACCTTCCTCCCAGGAGGACCACCTGCTACAAGTGGTGGGGGAGCGGGTTCAAAAATCTTCTGTTGCATGGCGGGAGGAAGTGTAGAATAAAGAGGAACTGGTTTTATGGGACCCACTTGATCTCCCAAATTGGTGATTTCTTTTGTTATTTTCCTACATGCATCCTCAATCTCCTCTTCTCCGGTTAGAAAGACAAGGATATCGCCAGGAGGTTCGCACATATGTATCTGCACGACAGTTCGAATAGCTGCTTCAAGGTAATCCCTTTCAGGTTCTTGAGTGTAAAAGATTTCCACAGGATGAAGCCGGCCAGGAACTTTCATAAGAGGTGCACCATAAAAATAACCCTGAAACTTTTCAGCCTCAAGTGTGGCACTCATGACAACTAGCTTAAGATCCGGTCTGTTTTTCAACACCTCCTTAAGAAGCCCAAATAGAACATCAGTTGCCAATGTCCTTTCATGAGCTTCATCAAGAATTATTACCTTGTATCTTTCCAGGAGAGGGTCTGTCATGGCTTCCCTTAAGAGCATACCATCTGTCAAGTACCTATAATAAAAAGATGGAAAGTGGCACACAGGAACAAATTTCAAAAGAGTAACTTAATTAACAATTGCATAAGTTGTCACAAATAGGTTTATAATAATTGTTACTTTAAAACTGTACGAGCACTGCTGCAATCTTCAAAACGAATGCTGTAACCCACTTCTTCTCCAATGGTCACATCCATCTCTTCGGCAACTCGACGAGAAACAGACATAGCAGCAACCCTCCGAGGCTGAGTGCAAGCAACCATAAACTTCCTACGCTTATCAGGGGTCTCGTCTTCAATGGCATCAAGAACAAACTGAGGTATCTGTGACAAGTTGAAAGAGCGGTTTGTTAAACTTTGGAATTTAGAAGTGTAAAATAAAATTCGACACATTAAGCACTTTAATGAAGCATAAAATACACATTGACAAAAATCTGTTGTTTGGGACTCTAACTGTGACTAGAAATGATATGGCCTTGTGTTCCTTAAACTTCTACTCCCTCCGGTCCATATTAAAGTTCTCACTTTCCTTTTTGGGATGTACCTTATTTAAGTCCACACTTCCATTGTAGGAAACAAAACAATGTCAAACAGTGCGAAACAGTGTCAAACAGTGTACAAACAGTGTCAAACAGTAAAGTCAAATTTATTTTCTTAAAGTCAAATTTATTTTCTTAATCTGTGTGAAGTCAAACTGGGAACTTTAATAGGGACCGGAGGGAGTATATACTTCAGACATATTAACAGGAGGCCAGGAGGGAACTGCAGATTTAATTGCTAATTCCGGCTAAAAGGGCAGAAAATTTATACTCCCTCCGTCCCGGTCATTTCTTCCGACTTTCCTTTTTGGGTCGTCCCAATTAATTTTTACAACTTCCACTTTTGGAAAAAATATGTGGTTCACATTCATTCACCTTTTTCTTACACAATTACAACCATACATTTTTACTTTATTCCCACTACCTAAGTTTGGGATACCGGTCAAAACCGGAAGAAATGACCGGGACGGAGGGAGTAATTTTCATGAGAGTTGTCATGTTAGGAAGATACTCTTAGAAAGTTAATTCAAGCTGTACAGATACTTTTACAATGTTATCACTATACAAGCTACACACAACGGAGCTGTTGACTATTTATAGTTCTGAAATTATGATTATTTAGTCTAATTTTCAATAAAAACTCTTTCCTTAAAAAAATTTCAAAGACAAATTGATGCACAGGTAAAATGATATTCCACCATGAAACAGAAATCCTTTACATTTATTCTTCCAGCTGTTGACTGGTGAATACTAAAGCTAAATACTATGACTCATGGGAACCGGTGTGTCTGCAAAGCATGTGATATTACTTACAATGATTCCCTCCTACCAATTTCCTTGACCATCATGAAACAAGAAGCTCAATAGGCAAAAACAGAACGTGCAAAAAAGGAAGGATTTGTATATACTCAAAACTTGATATCGCATAAACCTAACAATCAAATGTTTCTCGAATTATTTCGCATGATCTCTCTCCAATTTGAAAGCAGTAAGCATGAGCACTATGCTGCTGAAAGACCAGTCAAATACTCTACCCAAACCAAACAAATCAAATGCATTTCGCAATTAAAGAGTAGAACTGACCTGAGTGGTTTTACCACTACCCGTTTCACCGACCAGGATGAGGGTTTGATTCTCTTTCAATGTTTGCAGGAACTCATCTTTCTGGTGCCAAACAGGAAGAGTCTTCCTCTTCTCCAAAATCTCAAAGTATCTCTGGGAATAGGGCTTGGAGGTCCACTTATTGATAGAGGAAGACATTGGGACGCTGTTACCCAGCAGAGCAGAACCAAGACCGTTGATTTTCGGGATCTTGGAGCCGCTGTTGTCCACAACGTCGAACAAACTCACCTTCCTCTTCCGCTCGGTACCCATCAATCGACTCTAAAAGAGAAGCAAAACCTCCTCGTCGTCCACCGCCCAGAAGAAACGGAACGATACCTTCGCACCGGGATATTCTGAACCCGACCCGCGTTGATTTAGTGGAAATTTGTTACAAGCCGCAAAGCAAAGCGGAGCAGAGATCGATATATATACAGATTCACATGTGAAGAAATTTCTGGCTTTACTACCGGCTAACCCCTAATCGTTCTTGCTGCCGGGAACCGGATTATTGTCCAAATTTCTGGCCCATACCTCAAATTGCAAGTTCTTGGTCTAGCCCAACTTAGTACAACATGTTTCTAATACTCTAATGCCCTAGGTTGCTTGCAAAATACTACCTCCATAATACATATTAGTATATGTTCCGTTTAAAAGTTGATGAGATTAAGAATAGTAAAAGTGGATATAAATAATTGAGAGAATGATGGAAAGATAATAAAATAGCACGATAGAGTAAATGATAAATCCCAAAAAAGTATTAGTAATAATATATTGTTTTCAGATTATTGAGAGTATGATTGGAAGATTTAGAATTGGAAAGATTGAATGTTACGACCGAATAAAGAAAGTGGGAAGATATGAATGTTACAGATTGAGTATAAGGGAAGTGGGGGACAATAATTTACATGTAAAAAATATTATTACTTTCGTCTTGGTGGACTTTCCCAAGTGTATGGGTGAGGATTGTGCATATGATAGAAAAATGAGCAGAACCACAAATTAATTGCTTTCGTAGAAAAGTGACAATGTTTTTTGGGAAGTTGGCAAATGCTTTGATGGTTACTCACTAGAGGCGAATGAGGGCGGCAGTGAAAGAATTCATTCTCCTAATTTGAGAGTTTATAAATTTGAATAGATTCAAATAGTTGAATCACTTTTAAAATATGATGATAGATTCAAATGGTTGAACTTGTACACCATAATAGTTTAACCCGAGTTGAAGTTATCATTTAGTTAGTTATCTTTTAAAATCCTCCAATTTGATAGAACTTAAAAATACAACATCTGAAAAGTTTTGAGGGTCCCAAAAGTCACAACTTTCTGAAATCATCTTTTCCAATTTTTAAACACCCAAATAAGAAAGAGAAATTTTTCGGAATATGACTAAAACATGTTGAGTTTCCCTACATATGACTAGTTATGTTTTTTGACATTTATATGATCGAAAAGCAAAAATATAAAGAAAAAATCGTTCATATTAAAATGTTTAATGGCCAAAATACCCTTATTTAAAAATGTGCATTTTACACTATTTCCATCCAATTAAAAATACTGCACTTTATACTGTAGTTACTGTCCGACATTACTGCACGTACGGTAACATATCACTGCACTTCAGCCAACATTAGTTCTCTGCTCATCCACTTTAGGAATTTATTTAGAATTCATTTTTTTTATATTTTTTTTAGATTTAATAATTTTAGTATTTGACATCTAATTAAATATATTACATTTCATGTCAGTGTTTCTACACTACTAGTTATAATCACTGCACTTTCAATCAACATTATGACATGATCAATTGCCTTCGATTCATTGCACAACACACTTCGTCAATGCATTCATTCACTGTCAATGTACAACATTATCTATTGTAATCTTCAGTGGCCATGCTCACTCCCCATATTCAACCATATCTATTTTCAAGTTCACTGGCCATGCTCATTGCCCATGTTTAATGCCTACAAACCCTAAATTCAACAAACCCTAATTTCAAATAATAGTTCGAGTTGAGAGCTTCTCTCACTAAGGAAAATTCTCTCCGAACGGTCATAATTTTCCTTAGGTTGCACGAACTCTTATTGATCTTCTAGCTCTAAAATATCACGATTGAAGTTCTTTCTTCTTCTTGTTCCTTGGCCGGAATTCAATTATCTTTCATTCCTATCGATTGCTTTTGAGAGATTTGAGGTTTTGAACCAAAAACAATTTTTTTTTTAATTTATAGTTTACATAAATCACTGTTCGCAAAATTTCACATTTCAGCTTGAATCAAATTATTCGACGATTGTTTGAGAAAGAAGAATCTTGATTGGGTGTCGTCGTCCTTTGGCGCACCTCCCAATCTGTTTTCCAGCCACTAGAAGTTGTGTCGCACAGTGGTTGGAAGATAGTCGTTACGGTGTAGCACTGTACACCGATGAGCATTCAATCTTCAATTGCTTTAAAGTGTATCGTTCGATTTAAATTATGAGCATAGTCTGGAGGTCGCCTGACCAAGGCGGTCATTTCAATACCTAATTCATCTCTTGCAACGAAGGAATCCTTCACACTTGGGTCAGAGGATACTTCAATAAGCAAGGACAAAGATCTAGAGAAAGCACCAGAAAAGGAGGAAGTGGTCTCTAAGCCATGAATCCCATGATCATCTTTGTTTCAAAATAACCGGTCACCCTCCTATGGATCAAGCTTTAGTATTTTCCTCTGACCGATTAAAAACTTGATTTCTCACACTTGAACGTTACTGCGCTAATTAAGGTGTGGGGTTACTGCTTGGTGGGACATTTCTCAGGGAGTTCCTTGAGTTTAAAGGCAATTTATAACATGATCAAGTAATGGGGGGTTCAAGTTCAAGTTAAATCTCATAGCAAAGGTTGGGTCATTTTTAAATTTCTAAATGAAGAGGACAGCATTAAGGTATTGGTCAAGGGTCCCTATGTGTTTTATGATATGTTCCTTACAGAGTTTTCAGAGGCTTTTTTTTATTGATGGGAATGAGTTCTTAAAAGTGCCTATATTTCCTAAACTTTCCATGAGCTTTGGCAAGCAGCTGAAATTGGTAAGATTGGTTTCTTTGTGGGTATCCCTATCACTACGGATAAGGTTACACAAGAGCAAGCTTTTATTAGCTTTGCTCATGTCCATATCGAGGTGGACATGTCTAAACCACCAATGCTTGACTTTTCCATTGTGCCACCTTCGGGGAAGGAGTACGTCCAAAAGGTGATTTATGAGACTTACCCAAACTATTGCTACCATTGCAAAAAGTTTGGGCACCACCCCTTTCACGCGCAAAGTACTTAACCCGGACAAGAAGATAGAAAAGATGGTGGTGGTGGCTAAAGAAAATGAGAAGACCAAAGAGAAGTCGGATGCTATCAAAGAGGCTCCTTTCAAGGATGTCATCTGTAAGAAGAAGAAAGTGGATGATGTGGTGAAGGAGATCTTGGCTAAGGATGATGCTAGCTCATCTAAGGCACAAAAAGAGTGACCTGAAGCCAAAAGAGAAAGAAGTGATATATGACAAAATCATTCAAAGAGATCCTATCACCGGCTTAGAAACTATTATTGAGAAAGATTTTGTGGGCTACATCATTCGTAGTATGCATGAGATGGACTACCAAGATATAGTAACCGAGGTTTTTGAGGATGATAATGGAAAGAGGTTGGCATTGGTAGTGCCCCCGGATGAACTTCCAAAGGGGTAAACTAAGGTCAAGATTGGATCAGATCTTCAACCGGTGCTAAATGATGATGAATCGGGGGTTTATTTCGCCAATGAGTGTCTTATGTCATCTTTGGGGGTCAAAAGGAACCTTTCATGATATGATTTTGATAGAAGCATTTTTATTCATAATGTTTTTCCTTCTTTGATGGGAATACCAAAGGGAACAAAAAGTACTATAAAGAGATTATGAGAAGGCGTGGGAAGGTCGCACTAGGGAAGAAAAAGGATGAAGTACATCCTAGGGATGAGGACCATACCTCGGATGAAGACCTTACTTGATGATTAAGCTATTAATGTGGAATGTGCGAGGTTTGAATAAATCCTTTAAGCACAATATTGTATCTAGTTTTAGAAATTAGATAATGTTAATTTATGTTTTTTTTTTGGAAACCAAAATGACTAAAGAAGATTTCAAAAACTATGTTGATAACAAATGGACGGGATGACTAAATGTTACGAGTTTTGATAGGATTAATGGTGGCCACATGGCCATCGTGTGGAATCCAAATTGTGTAAATTGTGGTGTTGTTGAGGTTGTCAAGTATGTTTGCCATACCTCACAACTAACCTTTTATGTTACTTTTTTCCCATTATATATTGTCCTTGAGCGTAAATCACTTGAGGAGTACTTATCTCAATTGGGAAACCAAACTAATGCTCCTTGGATAGTGGCACGTGATTTCAATTGTGTAGGTGCACCAAATGAAAGGCTGGGGTGTAACCCCCTCTACGGCATATATGAGGCAAGACTTGATCGATTTTAGGGTCGCCACAAGTATACATGATGCACCCTCCTCAGTGGAATTCTTTACTTGGACCAAATGCAATCTTTGGGTGAAACTAGTCCGAATTCTCATAAATGGGGTTTGGGGCCAAATGGGTATTGAATGTAAGGTTCACTTCCAAGAAATGGAAATATAGTTTGTCACACAGCTTCTATGATATCAATACTCCAAAATGATATCCAACGGCCTAGACCCTTTAAATTTATAATATGTGGATCAAACAATCAGATTTTACTAACATTGTTGCGCTGAATTGGAATTGTTACATTATAGGTACGACCCAATTCTCATTTGTGAGGAAACTAAAAACTCTTAAAGGGCCTTTTAAGAATCATAACAAACTAGAGTTTGGGCATATCTCAATGAAAGCAAAGCAGACAAAGGAGGACTATAAGAGATTGCATGATCTCATATTAGCCTCACCAATGGATGAAATGTTACAAAATCAACTTGTTGACGCCAAACAGAAAACAATTTTCTTTGAGGGGCCGAGACATCCTTTTACCAACAAAAGGCAAAAGCTACTCATATATTGGAGGTTGACAAAGGCATCAAATACTTTCATGCGATAGTCAAGAGGAATGTGGCTCGTAATGCCATATCATCTATCACTTCGGAAGATGGTAGCCTCACTGCCTCGTTAGATCAAGTTGGCCGTGAATTTGTGAGCTTTTTTACTGATTTATTTGGTACCAATGTTTTGGGTACTAATTTTGATGAGTCTGTCATGAATATTGGTCCCTCAGTAGACCCCAATATAAAGAACATCCTTACTGACCCCATAGCCAATATGGAAATTAAAACAACTCTCTTTAATATTGGCAAAGACAAGGTCTCGGTGCCTGATGGGTACTTATCTACTTTTTTCAAAACAAATTGGAATATAATTAGAGATGAAATTGTTAGAGCCATAAAGTAGTTTTTTTCTTCGGGTAAACTGCTTAGGCAATCACATTGTGATTGCACTTAACCCAAAGACTAATCACTCCCCAAAGTTTTCGGGCTATAGACCCATTTCTTGCACATATGTGATTTATAAAGTCATCACGGAAATCCTTGCTTCTAGATTAGCACTTTGTCTACCTAGACTTGTTGGTGAATCCCAAGGTACCTTTGTTGATGACCACCTAATGTTTGATAACATATTCCTAGCACAGGAACTTGTAAGAGGATACAATAGGAAGCGTATTTCACCTCAATGTATGATCAAGGTTGATTTACTTGAGGCATATGACACAATATCTTGGATTTTAAAAAAAATCCTAGCAGGTTTGGATCTTTGTTTGGCTTTTTCAAAGGAAAAAAAGGTATTCGTCAATGTCCCTTTGCATATTTTTCAAAAAAAATTGTCAAACTATCTTGAAATAAGAGTACGAAATAGCTTCTATGTGACTATGTATAAGTTTTCCAAAAGACTAGGGCACAATGCATCAAACATCTCCATTATATTTAAATGGGGTTGTAGACATCTAATTTTTAATTTGTCCAATAAATGTTGATATTAACTAATAAATTTGATTTTCAATAAGTGCTAATGTGCTATAAGATAATATCAAGTTTGAGATAAACTTTGATATTATCTCATACATTTAAGTATTAATTATTTATTGGATAATATTTAGATATTATCTTATTCTCCTAGCTCTCCTGTATTGGGTGTATATATGGGTCTTCATAAGAAGAAAAGGGAGGAGATTGATTCATCAAATTTACTTCTATAGCTCCTTAACACAAGCAAAAACTGTCAACGTCATTTCAAATATATTATAGGTCTCTTGATGCTAACATATCTATCTATCCGTTTTTCCATTGCTTACGGATTGACAATGTTTTTTTTATTCCAGGGGCGTCTAGGGGAGGGGCCTAGGGGTTGGGGTAATCAGATCTGAAACTCACTCCAGTGAGTTTCAAAGCTGAGACCTCCCGTAAGGGAGAGTGTATCGACAACCAACTAGGTTGTACTGCTTCCTCGAAGAGTCAAAGTGACCAAAGAGAACTAGGTTGTACTGCTTCCTCGAAGTGACCAGAGAGAAGAACTCATATTCGTATATTCAAATAATTCAATATATGTAGTATGTGTCTCCGATCTTTTACTGAGGCAGGCATGATATCTAAGAAGATAATATCTTTTAAATTTGGAGATCATATCATCTAGTAACGTATTTAGGGGACTAGGCGACTACAAAAAATATTTTTGAGGGGAAATTACACGGTTTTTTTTACCCTTAACCATTGAGGCATTTTTAAAGAGAATGCTAGATGTACCCTATTTTGGGATATCCCATCTGTACCTCACTCATTGAGTGGCTCACAAAATCCCAATCCAATAAAATAATTGCTCCATTCTAATTCATTGCGTTTGTGAACCACAAAAATAGGAGGGGACAAAATAGGGTAGCTTTAGAATTTTACTTTTTTAAATCTGGGGTCGATCAGATGCTAGATTGGTCCCCCTCTAGACCCAGCCCTACTTTCGTCAAGAATGAGACAGAAGATCAAGCCATTTGAACTTGAAGGCCCTTTCTTCAAAACACAATGGAAGAATAATCCATTTAAATATGAAGGACCTTTCGTTAAAACTAAAAACGAAAGATTAGGTCACTTGAATCCAGAGGCCCTTTAGTTAAAGTGAAAAGTGGCGGAAGAATAAGCCATTTGAATCCAGAAGCCCTTCTATGAAAAAGCTCAAGATGGAAGTTAAGAGCACCCCAAGTCCAGTCTGCAAAGGCGTGTGGTTAAAGTCGTTTCGAGACTCGCTCGTGCTCTGTCCCTCTTCTTGTACATTCTATCAAGTACATATTTTGCTTCACACTGGGGGAAATTTGTGATATCAATCAACCTGCATCATCAAGTATTCATGCACAAAACAAATTATCAGATCTCCCTTCTTTTATCCTCTTCATTACAACATCATAAGACTATCCAATATCCAACCCCTCTAATAATATAATATTAGTATAATAAAAAATCTAATAATAACTCCCCATATTATATTGGTTAATAATATAAGAACAAGAAAAGATATGAAGTAGATAAAAGTAAGAAAGAATAGTGAAAAGGTAGACAACCAGAAAAGAGAGGTGAAAATAAGATAAACATTACAAAAATGAAAATGGAAGAAATAATAAAATATGTCTCAAAAAAGGCCAAGTAAAAAGTTATTAAAACGGAAGGTATGTAAGTAAATAAAAGTGGTGGGCAGTAAAACTCAGAAAAACACATTAAGTGCTTCAATGACACAGTGTCATCCCATAAGTTGTCCCATGAATAGATGAACTTTGTTTCGTGCTACGGTAGAAGTAAGCACAAAAAAGTTGCGGTGAAAGAAAAAAATAAAATAGAAATATAATTTTAAAATACTGACCAGTCACCCCTGATGTCAGTCACAGTACGGATAAATTTCCTGCTTGTTAACACATACTCATTGTATATAACCCATTCTGGCTTATGATCCAGGCAGTTTGAAGGATGCAAGTGAACCTCCTACCACATATTAAAAAAAATCATAGTAGAAGAAATTAGTAACAAGCATTTAACAAATGGTAATCAACTCTGGCTTTTGATCCAGCCTATTCACAGGGTACAAGTGTACGCTGTCATACAATCATCATGTGTGCTGTGTGCCTGTTAGTAGGCAATAAGTGCCCAGCATTTAATTAACAAGCCACATATAACTGCTGTATTTGCTAAAAATGAACATACCTGATTATCCTTCACTGTCACATAGTGACCTGTACGTTCTAAATGAGCCACCTGCATGAAATAGCCAGCTAACAGTGCTACATAGCTTGAGGTTGAATCTTGCCATAATGCGTGCAAGTTGCTGCCTAACATTATCTGCTGACTTGAGAGCCCTGTAGTTAATGAAATTCTCATAACACCATTGTGGATCCTCCTCTGAAAAGAAACATAAAACCATATCAAGAGAACTTCTCGTAATCAACAACTTGTGGAATTCTTAAAATTGAGAACACAGACTACACATAGAAAATAGAAACTTACGGTTTTGCTTGTAAGCATGGTATACATTCAGCAGCGTCAGGTGATCTCCATCAATGTGACTAAAACGCCCTTTGGCTTCGTCTGCAGCTTTTTGAGCCTCCCTAGGCCGGATAAAGCAGTTGGGTACTATAGAAAAAAGTGGTTATCACAGAGGAGGGCCCACTGTGTGGTCAGCAGATGCATAGAGGCGAGAGACAACACCATTTGCTTCATGAGAGAGAATACTGAGAAACTGCAACTATCTGCATCAGCTTAGAACCTCTATGGTGCATGCCAGCCGAAGGGCATGGAACCCATACAAGACAGTTGCTGATGACAACCTAAGGGTGACACACATAAAACCACATACAAGTACACTTTTGTGCACATGTATGCAGTCTAACAACATCTCTATATGCATAGGTGCATACCTATGCACAAAAACATAGATATCTATGCCAGAGAAGACCTGACAGTGATGCGGATAAAGACCACACCGACAGACTCAACAGACAAAAAATATTATGAATAAAAAAAAACCTGATAGCATGGCAGACACAGAGAGAATCTCATTGGAGCAATTAAATTCTGGGCTGACAACGAGCATTTTTGCCATTTGGGGGTCTAGGGGCAACTCACTCATGATCTCACCCAATTTTGTCAAGTTCCCTTCATCATCCAAGGCACCAAGGTAATTCAGAACCTCCAAGGCTCTCATTAATGTTTCTGGTGCTGGAGGATCCATGAAATCAAAATGGACTAAATCGTCTATCCCTAGCTTCTTCAGAGTTAGAACTGTATTAGAAAGGTTTGATCTAAGTATTTCAGGATAGATCTGTGGTTGGAGATCGTTCTGAAAGCTCTTTTCTCTGTACAGTCTATAGCATTTTCCAGGCTGTGTTTTTCCAGCACGCACAGATCTTTGGTGGGCACTTGCCTTCGAAATTGGAGAGACCAACAAAGACTCAACACGTACCCTGGGGTTATAAACTTTTTGCATTGCAAACCCTGGGTCTATAACATAAACTATACCATCTATAGTCAATGATGTCTCAGAAATATTTGTAGAGACAACTACCTTCCTCCCAGGAGGACCACCTGCTACAAGTGGTGGGGGAGCAGGTTCAAAAATCTTCTGTTGCATGGTGGGAGGAAGTGTAGAATAAAGTGGAACTGGTTTTATGGGACCCACTTGATCTCCCAAATTGGTGATTTCTTTTGTTATTTTCCTACATGCATCCTCAATCTCCTCTTCTCCGGTTAAAAAGACAAGGATATCACCAGGAGGTTCGCACATATGTATCTGCACGACAGTTCGAATAGCTGCTTCAAGGTAATCCCTTTCAGGCTCCTGAGTGTAAAATATTTGCACATGATGAAGCCGGCCATGAATTTTCATAAGAGGTGCACCATAAAAATAACCTTGAAACTTTTCAGCCTCAAGAGTGGCACTCATGACAACTAGCTTGAGATCCGGTCTGTTTTTCAACACCTCCCTAAGAAGCCCAAATAGAACATCAGTTGCCAATGTCCTTTCATGAGCTTCATCAAGAATTATTACCTTGTATCTTTCCAGGAGAGGGTCTGTCATGGCTTCCCTTAAGAGCATACCATCTGTCAAGTACCTATAATAAAAAGATGGAAAGTGGCACACAGGAATAAATTTCAAAAGAGTAACTTAATTAACAATTGCATAAGTTGTCACAAATAGGTTTATTATAATTGTTACTTTAAAACTGTACGAGCACTGCTGAAATCTTCAAAAGGAATGCTGTCACCCACTTCTTCTCCAATAGTCACATCCATCTCTTCGGCAACTCGACGAGAAACAGACATAGCAGCAACCCTCGGAGGCTGAGTGCAAGCAACCATATACTTCCTACGCTTATCAGGGGTCTCGATGGTATCAAGGACAAACTGAGGTATCTGTGACAGGTTGAAATATCTGTTTGTTAAACTTTGAAATTTCGAAGTGTAAAATAATTTTCGACACATTAAGCACTTTTTTTTGGTAAACACACATTAAGCACTTTGATGAAGCATAAAATACACAATGACAAGAATCTGTTGCTAGGGACTTTAACTGTGACTATAAATGATATGGTCTCGTATGCCTCAAACTTCTACTAACTTCAGACATATTAACAGGAGGGAACTGCTGACTTGATTGCAGGGCCGGTCCTGTCTATTTTCGGGCCTATGGGCGATATAATATTTTTGGGCTTATTTTTAAGACAAACAATAAACTATACTTATTTAAAATAATAATTATAATAAAATTATCTAATAAAGGTCATAAAATAAAAACGAATCTCATTTTATTGTTATCATTTAAAATACAAATTTGGTGAAAAGTAACAACACAAGTATCACATAGAAGAAAAACATTATCTAAAAATCTTTCTCGCAGAACATTGTGAAGCAAAATCATCAATAACTGCTTCATAATCAGCCTTTTCCAATATCTCATGCTCAATACTTAAAATTGCTAACCCATTAAGTCTTGCTTGAGACATAGTCTATCGCAGATGATTCATCAAAATTTTCAACTTTGAAAAATATAACTTAAAAACGTTTCTCGCGGAATTTTCAAGATTCAATTTCTTAACAAAAACAAAGTTTTCCATTGTCCCCTTCTGACTTAAGCCTACCTTTTCTAATCTTGTCCCCTTTCTCTCTTTATCCCAACCTAATTCACCCATTTTATCAAGAATAGTTTATTGGTCATTATTGGATTGTTTGAAACCTTGAAAGAAGAAATTTTTTGGTCACCGACTAAAAATTGGCCTCCTTGATTGAGATTGGCTTCTTAACAAACCGCTGAAGCGCTCGCCGCATTGCAACGTTCTTTACTCTTGTTGATTTTGGAATTTGGAAACAACAAATCAATTTGGATGGGCTTTACCAATTGAGTTTTGGAATTGGGAGACAGACGTGTCTCTTTACAAGGATTATAAAGCATAGAGATGTGAAGACAATTAAGACAGACATGCCTCATTACATTTATTTTAAAAATTAAACCTTGAGCGTAATTAATTGAGTTTAAAAATTAAAAAAAGAAATCTACTCAAACTACATATAAAGAAATATTTTTGGGCCTATTTTTTCTTGCTATTTTCTTGGGCCTAGGGCGGTCGCCCTGTTGCACCCCCTAGGGCCGGCCCTGCTTGATTGCTAATTTCGGATATAAAGGGCAGAAGAATTCTAATTGTTCGTGAGTTGTAATGTTAGCAAGATACTCTTAGAGTGTTAATTCAAGCTGTACATATACTTTTACAATGATATTACTATACAAGGTACATACATTTCAAAATTTTCTGAAATGATGATTATTTAGTCTAATTTTCAAAAAAAAAAACTTTCCTTAGAAACTTTTTCAAACAGAAAATGATGCACATACAAAATGATATTCCACCATGAAATTGAAATCTTTTACATTTATTCTTCCAGCTGTTAACAGGTGAATCTGTTGACTGGTGAATCTGATTACATAGGTTTTTTTATATCACAAAAACCTAACAGTACATTATTTCTCTATTTATTTCGCATGATATATCTCCAATTTGAAAGCAGTAAGCACGAGCACTGTGCGACTAAAAGACCAGTCAAATACTCTACCAAAACAAAAACAAATCAAATACATTTCGAAATTAAAGAGTAGAGCTGACCTGAGTGGTTTTACCACTACCCGGTTCACCGACCAGGATGAGGGTTTGATTCTCTTTCAGGGTTTGCAGGAACTCATCTTTCTGGTGCCAAACAGGAAGAGTCTTCCTCTTCTCCAAAATCTCAAAGTATCTCTGGGAATAGGGCTTGGCAGTCCACTTATTGATAGAGGAAGACATTGGGACGCTGTTACCCAGAAGAGCAGAACCAAGACCGTTGATTTTCTGGATCTTGGAGCCGTTGTTGTCCACAGCGTCGAACAATACCCTGAGACCCATGCATAGCCGCATAGGCGCGGGAAACTTTTACTCGTTATCTAATTACATGCTCTTTATCTTTACACTTTCCATTTTTATCGTTATCACAATTATCTTTACACTTCTTTAATTACCTTATTTGGCAAATAAATCTACACAAAACATTGCCAAACAGTGTTAAAAAGTGTCAAAAAGTGCCAAACAGTGCCAAAACAGTGTACAAAGTCAAATTTATTTACTTAAAAACCGTGAAATCAAAGTGTCAAGATCTTTTGGAACCAGGTGGGGTATTAAAATAAAAATAACTTTAATTTTTAGAATTCTACATTTTCGAAAAATAAAAGTACAATAACGTAATGAGTTTTTTCCGGAATAATGCTAATTAAATAAATTATTCTTGAATACTGTCGGGTTAAGAATAATTCCCAAAATACTGCTGGAATTAACCACGATTAAGGAAAGCCGTCACTCCAAGTGGCGGCTCTTGTATTACTTCACAAAAACCGCCACTTGAAGTTGCGGCTCTTCTCATACGTCTCATTTTGTACATATATAAAACACAATATGTTTCAAGAATTTTTTAACTGCCTTCCCGATTGAATTTTGAGCTGAAATTTGGTATGCATAAACTAGACTTGATGAGGAACATATTCAAAAAAAAATTATCAAAAAATTCCACCAGAAACACCCTCTTATGGTGTTGTCCGGGGGGTTCCGGTCAAGACATCATGACAAAAAGTTGGCCCGGCCACCTCAATTTGAGGTGGTTCCCGACTTCCCGGTGGTATGTTTTGATGAAATTTTTTGTGTATGTTCTTAATAAAGTCTAGTTCAGTCATACCAAATTTGAGCAAAACATTCAATCATAAAGGCCGTCAAATGATTTTTGAAAGGTAACTACGCCGGATTATACATATAAAACGCAATTATCTTTAAAGTATGTTCATCATCAAGTCTAGTTTATGCATACCAAATTTCAGCTCAAACTCAATCAGGAAGGCAGTTAAACAAATTCTTGAAACATACTGCGTTTTATATATGTACAAAATGGAACGTAAGAGAATAGTCGCCACTTGAAGTGCCGGCTTTTGTACTATAAGAGAAGAGCCTCCACTTGGAGTGGCGGCTTTTGTGAAGTAATAAAAGAGACGCCACTTGGAGTGGCGACTTTCCTTAATCGTGGTTAATTCCGGCAGTATTTTGGGAATTATTCTTAACCCGACAGTATTTCGGGAATAATTTATTAAATTAGCATTAATCCGGAAAAAAACTCTAACCTAATACCATAAAATATAAGTTAATACAATAAATATTCAATGAAGAGTATATTAGGAAAGATTAATTAAACACCACTCATTAGAATTTGCTACTTCTTAATTTTCATGATTAAATTAATTTAAAAATTAAATACTATTCTAAAAAAGTGAATACAATAATACGGAGTATTCAATAACTAATACTACGTATTAGTTATATAAGAACTTGTTACTCATTAGTTAAATTAGTGCTAGCATATGAGAGGAAAATTATCTTATCCAATTCTTAGTCGGCTTATCTGATACAAAAAAAAAACTAAATATGAGAGAAAATTCTCTCACTCAATTGTTAGTTAGCCGAATTAACTTATACCTAAAAACACTATGTATGAAAGAGAAAATTCTACTGCTTAATTGTTAGCCGACTTATTTTATACTTAAAAGAACTACATATATGAGAATTCACCGCTCAATTGTTAGCAAATTTATCTTCTAATTAATACCTAAAAACACTACATATGAGAGAGAATAATTCTTTCGCTCAATTGTTAGCCGACTTATTTTATACTTAAAAGAACTATATATGAGAGAGATAATTATTATGTTCAATTGTTAGCGAGTTTATCTTCTAATACCTAAAAGACCTACATATGAGAGAAAATTCTTCTGCTCAATTGTTAGCCGACATGTCTTATACCTAAAAGCACTATATATGATAGAGAAAATTATTAGATGGCTTATGGCTTAGTCTTTCTTATATCTAAAATCTTATATCTAAAAGCAATATATATATATATATATAGGGGATGGTTCAAATACAAAGATCTCATCCCATGCAAAGTGAGAATGAATCTTGTGCATTCATTTCCACGTCTAATGGCTCAAAATGAGCCAAAAATGCACAAAATTCGATCAAAACCGCGGTGACAATTTCGTAAATATGTTGCACTTTTTCGTTATCGCGAAAAAGTGCAACAGAAACACGCAAAAGTGCAAGCGAAACATGCAAAAATGCATATCTTCGCACTTTGCATGGGAAGAAGTCTTTTTATTTGAACTCTTCCCTTTATATATATATATATATATATATATATTATCTGTTCAATCGTTAGATGACTTATCTTACATTATACTAAAAAGTATTACATATGAGAAAGAAAATTCTTCAGGTCAATTGTTAGCAAGTTTATCTTTTTAGCTTATTATACCAAATATGAATGAAAGAGAAAACTATCCCACTCAATTCTTGTTGCGGGCTTATCTTATCTTATATACTTAAAAGAACAACATATGAGATAGAAAGTTATTTTGCTCAATTTTTAGCAAACTTATCTCATAGTACCTAAAAGCACTACATATGATAGAGAAAACCCTCCACTCAATTCCCCCACTCGATTGTTGCAAGCTTATCTTCTAATTTCTAATACCTAAAAGCAATACATATGAGAGAGAAAATTCTCCCGCTCAATTATTAGCAAATTTATCTTCTTACATCTATAATCACTACATATGAGAGAGAAGTTTCTCTCACTCAATTGTTAGTCGACTTACCTTATATCAAAAAGCACTACATGTTGCAGAGAAAATACTTCATTTCACATGTTAGCCGACTTATCTTATACTTAAAAGAACTATATATGACTGACAAAGTTCTTCCGCTCAATTATTAGCACACTTATCTTCTAATATCTAAAATCACTACATACGAGAGAGAAAGTTCTCCCGCTCAATTGTTAGGCGGCTTATCTTGTACCTAATAACATTATACATGATAGAGAAATTTCTCTCGCTCAATTGTTAGTGTCCTTAAACATGACCCAATCTTCTTATACCAAAAATTTTATACCTAAAAACATTATATATGTGATAGAAAATCATCTCACTCAATTGTTAGACGATTTATCTTATACCTAAAAGCATTACATATAAGAGAGAAAATTTGATCGCTCAATTGTAAACCGACTTATCTTATATTTCAAAGCACTCCATATGACAGAGAAAATTGTCTTGCTCAATTATTAGTCGGCTTATCTTCTATCTAAAAGCACTATATATGAGAGAAAATTCTCATACATCTTCCACAAATGTGTAATGGTTCACCCAATAACAATTTTATTTCCGTATCTTCCACATCTTCATTGTTTAATTACATAATTCCTTTTTAATTTACTTTCTACCGTTAGATTGTTAGCGTTTTGAGTATTTTTTCATACCGAGTATATCTTTTCAACTGCAAGAGTTTATGCTATGGAGGTTTATTAAAAGCTAATAAGACTAAAAGCTAATAAGTTTCCAAAAATAGGACCACATACCACCGTAGGACCAAAGATGAATGTATTTGACCATAATACCCTTAGCGTAATTGTACAATATTACGTAATAGTAGACATTAAATAGACAACAAATAGAAAATAAGTAGACAATAAATAGACAGTTGGGGACATACGTCCCCTGAAGTAGGGGGAAAGTGTCTCCAGTTGGGGACGTACGTCCCCTGAAGTAGGGGGAAAGCGTCTCCAGTTGGGGACATACGTCCACTGATACGTAATAGTAGACATTAAATAGACAATAAATAGACAATAAGTAGACAATAAATAGGAAGTTGGGGATGTACGTCCCCTGAAGTAGGGGGAAAGCGTCTCCAGTTAGGGACGTACGTCCCCCGAAGTGGGGGAAAATCGTCTCCAGTTAGGGACGTACGTCCCCTGAACTGGGGAATTTCAAACTCAATTTACTCAAGCTGAAGGGGAAAATTTGGAAACTAATAATTGAGTTTCTTAAAATAGGAGTACATGTGTGACACGGATGGAAATAAAACAAGGAGGTCCTAATTTTGGAAAGGAGCTATGATTTGGTCCTACGAGCTGCAAATTTTTCTTTATTATTGTTGGGTTAATGGCCCAACAAGGGCCGACCCATCAACCCATAAGGGCCTCCTATGAACGGTCCATCAACCCATAAGGGCCTCCTACGAACGACTCATCAACCCATAAGGGCCTCCTACGAACGTCCTGTTAGAAGCCCAAGACGAGGGGTTACCTGTCTGCTGGTTCGGGAGGAGATTCGTCCCAAAGAGAGACAAACTTCAGCACCAAGGGGCAGGGGCGTACGTACCCCATTATCAGCAGGTTTCATGGGGATGAGCGGTTCCACCCCTTGACAGGATGCCAAGAATAGCTCATGAATAGCTCAAGGATAGCTCAAGTGCATGGGGACGAACGTCCCCGCCCCTTGGCAGGAGACAAGAGCCAAGCCCTTAGGGATGAACGTCCTTACCCCGTTACGGGAAACCAAGATCCTGGCGGGAAACACATTTAAAACATGCAAAGTGAGAATGAATCTTGTGCATTCATTTCCACGTCTAATGGCTCAAAATGAGCCAAAAATGCACAAAATTCGATCAAAACCGCGGTGACAATTTCGTAAATATGTTGCACTTTTTCGTTATCGCGAAAAAGTGCAACAGAAACACGCAAAAGTGCAAGCGAAACATGCAAAAATGCATATCTTCGCACTTTGCATGGGAAGAAGTCTTTTTATTTGAACTCTTCCCTTTATATATATATATATATATATATATATATATATATATATATTATCTGTTCAATCGTTAGATGACTTATCTTACATTATACTAAAAAGTATTACATATGAGAAAGAAAATTCTTCAGGTCAATTGTTAGCAAGTTTATCTTTTTAGCTTATTATACCAAATATGAATGAAAGAGAAAACTATCCCACTCAATTCTTGTTGCGGGCTTATCTTATCTTATATACTTAAAAGAAC